GCCCCCTATCTGGGATTTCTCCCTGTTCTTCTCTGCTCTGCCATGGGGAACCACAAAGCCTGGGTTTTCAAAGATTCCTTCACATGACCCTCTCTTTGGATTTGAAGGTGGCTGTCATGACTCTGCTTCCTTTTTTTGTATAAATTCTCCCTAGAGACTGGCGCCACTCCCCTGGTCCTCTAGTTCCCTTCTGTATTAGGAAGGACTTCGTCACCTCCAGTTACTCACTCAACCTGTGCCATCCTCAACAGAATTCTTCATTCACCATTCATTAGCACAGGTGGTCCTTGAATAATGTCATTTTGTTCAATGCCGTTTCAATACAATGTTGATGAGATCCCATGGGCACTTAACTCTTGCTTATGTCTCTTAGCCTGTGGTAAAATTGGTTTTGTCAGATGTCGTTATGCTTACAGTCACAAAACATATTGATGACGTTAAGTGAGGACTTTTTTTTTTTTGAGGACTTCTTAAAAGACATCTTAAGAGCCTCCTTTGTGACTGTCACTGTCCTAGACTCTAGAGATGCATCAGTGAACAAAAAAGACTGGGCCTTTGTCTTTTTGTAGACAAAATAGGTTTGGATCCTTAGAGGGAGTTTGAAATGAGCATTGAACCATTTCTGTGTGTTCCTTTTCTACATTTTACCTCTCTCCAATTTTTTTCTTAAATGCTCCATGAGTGAAAAAAATGTGTATTTTCTAATTGTTAGATATAGTTTTCTATATATGAGCATCAAAATAAGTTAGTTCATTGTGCCGTTCAAATCACCTACCGTATGTCCTTTTCTGTTTTTGTTTGATTAATCTATCAGTTAGTTATTGAGAAAAGTGTGTTAAAAATCTCCCACTGGATTTATCAGTTTCTCCTCGCAGTGCTGAAATGTTTGCTTTATGTAATTTAAGGCAATGCTGTTTGGTGCATAGATGTTTACAGTATGTATACCTAGTTGATAAGTTGGGACCATCGTCATATGCTTTCCATTTTTTCTGCTCTTTTTTTTTTTTGGTTGAGGTGTTTTTCCCCCTCATTTCATTTTCCATCTTCTTATTTGGAAAGTATATGCTCTGTATCTGTTCTTTCAGTGGTTACCCCACTATTTTAACAGGCACGCTTAACAAAGTATAAAATTAATCAGCATCTTTACCTTCCTCCCAAACTATACAAGAACCATAAACTATAATTCTAAAACAAAAAAAACCACAAAAACCCCACAAAACTATAATTCAAAATAAAACCATAATTCTAACCACTGCTTCTCCCAGTTTATATCCAGTTGATATCTTATATTTTCATTCTATCCTGTTTTTTGTTTTATTTTCCTTATAGGTTAGACGGTGTTGTTTTATACAGTGTATAGACTTACCCACATACTTATCAATATCTTCTCACTATTCTTTAATGAATCTGAGATCATTTTCTTTCTGCCTAAAATAAATCCTTTAGCATTTTCCTTTAGTGAGAGTCTGTTGGTGGTAAACTCTCAAGTTTTTTCTCTTTTGGTTTGGTTTGGTTTTTGAGTTTTGTTAGCTTGAAAATATCTTATTGTGCTCTCAGTTTTGAATGGTAGCTTTACTGTCAGATGGGTACTAGATTGGTTGGGGTGATAGAAGGGAGGGGATTGGGGGGCAGGGTGAAGGTGATGGCATTAAGAACTACCAATTGGTAGTTAAAAAGAGTCATGGGATGTAAAGTAAAGCATAGGGAATATAGTCAATAATATGGTAATAGCTATGTATAGTGCCAGGTAGGTACTAGGCTATTCAGAGGGATCATTTCTTAAATGATACAAATGTCTAACCAGTATGTTGTGTTTAATATAAAATAATATTGAGTGTCCACTATAATTGAAAAATTAAAAAGGTGGGGGAAGGCGAAGGGGAATAAGAGGTCCAAATTTCCAGGTATAAAACAAATAAGTCATGGGGATGTAATGTACAGCATGGGGAATATAGTCAATAATGTTGTGATGGTATGATATCCGATGGTTGCTGGGCTTATCATGGCGATCACTTCTTTAGGTATATAAATGTTGAATAACTATGGTGTACCTCTGAAACTAATATAATATTGTATGTTAGCTNCAGGGACTGCATCTAATACATCTTCATAGCCTCATTCCTTACCGTCCTGCCTGGCACACTGCAGGGCGTGGGAAACACTTGTCCAGTGCCTGCCTGCCTGCTCCCCAGTGAGACATGAGAGAGGGTGAGGCCAGCCTCGGACACTCACAGGGCTTCTGGACAGTGTCCTCTACAGGCTGGTGATGGAGAGCTGGGAGCAAAGGATAAAGCCGTGACCTTCCCTTCTCTTTTTCCCACAGAACCAGGTCTGCTTTTCCCACCTGCCCAGCAGCATGAGAACAGCATGACCGGCCGGCCACAGGAGAAGCCCCCAGAGCCAGGCCCCCAACTCAACCACCTGCTGCGGAGGTCAAGGTGAGCTTGCTTTCCTTCTGGAAAGTTCAGGAATTTTCATTTTAACGAACTCTAGTTGCTTTTGTAATCCCTCACCATGTGCTGGAAAAATGGGCTTTCCTGGGACATGAATACACTTAGTGCGTGTCAGCCTAATAGGTAAAAATGTGCTCGTTTTGGTTAATGGAGAGAGGCCAGTGGTGGAGCAGATATAACCCTGAATTGAGTTTCTGGGGATTGAAGTGCTCATTATTCCTCCCCCCGCCTCCTGAATCTGGGACCTTGGGCAGATCTTTTAGGGACTGGGGATCCAGGGAATTTGGGGTGAAGGAATGTCTGGAATAGGATAGAATTGGAAGGACGGTCGGACTGTGGCCTAGGACTCCCAGGACACCCTGGACAGAAACTCCTGTCCCACTCACAGTCATAAGGGGCCTTAGAGGATCAGCCAGGCCAATTCCCAGCCAATACTGAACAGGGAATTGTTAGAAAATTCTTCTTAATATTGGGACAAATTCTTCCT